CACACACATATATATATATTGAACTCTACATATACAAGCATAACTCAATATATATAATGAACTCTCCTTTTAGTGTTGTCACATATGCAATGATTTCATTTGTTACTCATCACACTGCTTTCCACTCTTTTTGTTATTTTTAATGACATTTGTGACATTATTTAAATCTGTGCTGACTTTGTGTCTTGCTACAAGTATAGTTTATGTTGTCCAAACTATCATTTAGACAGGCAGTAACCTGAACAATGGTCAGGATTTAATATGGAAAACCAAATCCATCATTAAAGTAGACAATAACTTATTCAGTGCATCATGTTTGTAATAATTGTATCCTAAATTAAGATCATCTTTGTTAATGGTTAAATGAATTAAATTAGTAAAGTATGTATGGACATATTTATGCATTTCATTGGCCAAGTTTCAGTGATTTAAAAAGGTGTCAAATCTTGACATCCAGAAACTCTGTTGACTCCTGTCCTCTCTCCCTTTGATATTTACTTTTCTTGCAGGCCATCAAACCTTCTTCTGGACCAAAGCAATGTCGACATCACTACCTTCCGCACAAGTGACTGGCTTAATGGTGTTCGAACAGCACAGTGCAAAGAAATCTTCACAGGCGTGGAATACAGTTCTTGTGACACCATAGCCAAGATTTCTACAGAGTAAGAAAAAGTTTTTAAGAAAACTGAATGATTCTAAACTTTCTACTGAGCATACATGTTTTGGATTAATGTGTTATAAATATAGTTGAACCTCTGAGGTACTTACTCTTCCCTGTAACCACTGAACTGGTTCCTGGGTCTCTCTATAAATAACACCTTTTGGGTTTATGTGTATTGGTGTGTCTTCTTCCTTCAGATAGACCAACAGATACACAGCCCCAAGCCCCTAACTAAAAACATGAGCATATAGGGCATGATGATTTTGTGTTTTCTGTTACTTTTAACAAAACATAGTTTCGGTGGAAATGGAAAAGAAAAATTTAAGTAGGTAAGCTGGTATACAGGGAGACATGCTAAAGTCAGAAGCAGCTTTCACAGCTGCTAAATAAGCATATCACCATCTATGATTGAGTCTATTAAGGATTTCATCTTTGCAAATGAAGTTACAAATAAGTTTAAGGTATTACTTTATTATTTTCCTTAAAAAGCTTATATTCATCTTGGAAAAACAGAATATAAATAATTTATATGGTTTGATGTGTTAAAAGGCAATAATAATTAAATATAATATGATGAATTTCTTAGACAGAGATCTTTGGATAATAGCAATTCTTTGGGGAAACACATGGGCTTAACGGAAGGGGGTTTACCAAGTGAATCCAGTGACTAGTCAATAACTGTCATCTTTGTTCACAGGGTATGGTAACTGGGAACTGGCAGTAAATAACTAGAAGCCATATTCTTTTCTCTGTGAATGAAGAGTCAATTTACTCCATTTCTTAATGTAACCTACATCATTCTTTTCTTTTTCTGCACAGTGACTTTTGCTGCACTCCCATGACCATAGATAAAAATGGCTTTCTCTGCCCTCAGTCATGCAATCTTAGTTTGCTACTCAACTGACTAGGGCCCAACTCTCTTAACTTCAAGCCCTCAAAAGAAAATTTGGATGGGCTCAGTGCTACTTGTATATGACACCTTCAAAGTCATATGTTTTCCTTTATAAAACTATTTCTGTTCAAAAGAGGTGAAGTAAGATGGCATGAACTTGGCTCTAGGAGCCTTTTCCTGAGGGTAAAATAGAGAACTGTTCCAAAAAAGTTTTTGTGTTGGCCAGATACACCAACTTATACATAGTTTTGTAGCTTGTACAGTTTGTTTGCAAACTGTGTCCATCTTTGTTCCAGAATCTTATATCTTTCATCTTTGTTTCTTAAAACAATCTCTTTGTTGCCCTCTATTTCCTTTACGTTAACCTCTCCTACCAATATTTGAATATTTAAATATTGTTGAATATTTAAAACTTTCATTATCATCTTGTCAATCATTTAAACAAAGCCAATGTGGAGAGCTACAGATGAGCTATCAAAAAGGAATGTGGAGTGCAATTAGTAGACATATAAGTGCCTAGTAAGTAGGTAAAGAAGTTGATCATTCATGGCATAATATTCCAATCAGAAACACAAGTCACAAAAGGACCTCATTTATTACTATGGAAGAGGAGAATTGTTCTTAAGAAATAAGCTTATTCTAGTCTATTTAACCTGTGTTGGCATTCCTGTTTAAAGGGAAATCCACTGTTTATTGAATAGACTTCTGACTCAATCTGCAACACGCTTTGTCTTTCGGTAGTAGTTATTTTGATCATACACAATCACAGGATATAGTAATATTTTTAAATATTTTAATTCTTACTTTATTAATATAAACAGTTGGGGTTATGATATATAAGACACCTGCTTTGGGGCACAGAAGCATAGGGGAGAGCAAACACAGTTGAATATTTCCGCACCATTGCCAGATTTTCAAAAGCAACATTTTATAAATGTGTATTTTCAATAAAATATCAACACTTATAGCTTTTAAATAATGAAGTGGATGAGGCAGAACATTGTTAATATGATTAACTGCCAGCTCACAATTTAAATAGAGTCAGACATTGTAAGTTGTGAATATGTTAAGAAAGCTATTTGCTTAAAAAGGTGAAGTGGCAGCATTTGTTACATTTCCAATTGAGAAATATATTTGTCTCAACCATACAGTTTTGGACAGTAAGCTCTTTTTTGCTGGTTAGAATGTTTTCACTTGATAGTTATTATTATTATTTAAACAATCTGTACATTCAAGATAAAAACTGACTTTCCTGAGACTCAACTCTTTCAGGTTTGTTCTTCACACTGAGTCACATGGTTTCAGATCTCTCTGCATTTCCAACTCCACAGTTATCATTCTTCTGTCCTTTCTCCTGAACTCAGGAACAAGATAGGATTAAGATCTATTGGCCTGAAATTCCTTGAAAAGAATTATTTCTTAGATCTCAGTGTGGTGTACCTCCTGCCCATAGTTTATACTACAAAAATTAGAATTAAAAAAAAACATTTAATAAACTAATTATTTGGGGAATTCTAATGAGGCAACAATGATATCTTAAATCCTTTAAAATATTTAACCCAGTATTTCATCCTTTTTCAGTCCTAAGATTATTGTTTGAATTTGATTTCTTTCAATCCTTATTTTCTTTGTGCCATTCAGACTCAATTCAGAAATTATTCCCTTGACTAAATAACTCCAGAGAGTCTTCTAAAATAAGATAGTGATAACTAAAAAAGGACATTAAATTATTTTTTCTATCCATACTATCAAATCACAGAAAAAGTTCAATGGGGCTTCAAACTTAAATATTAACTTATTTCAGTTAGTTCAGGATTTCATTTACAGCAAGCTACTCAAGTCATTTCATTTTCAGATGAAATCCAGAAAATATGCAATTTAATTCAGTATATAAAACATAATTTTTAAAATATTATTTAATAGCGTAAGATAGATTTCAGAAGGTTAATGTAAGAAGGGAAGAGAGAATGAGAAAGGGGGCAAAAGTGACCATAGACTCTGGAGAGAGAATAAAGTGTGTGTAATGAATATTAGGCAGATTCATTGCAACATGTCATTATCCTGTACTCTTGGAGGCCATTTTCCAAGTGTCATCACCTATCCTTTTGCCTTTGAAGTACCATATAGCTCATTAACCTCTGGTCTCAATCTTGAGTTGACCTATGGTCTTGAACTTATCCACTGCCCTTCTGAACAGGGTAGTCAAGATGATATAAGCATGTGGGGAGTGTTATTGAGACTATAGCAGCTGTATGTTCAGAACAATTTTGTACATGGCAAGGTGGTGGATAGAAGACAATATGGAGGAGGTAGAGAGAGTAGAGAGTCCATAAAAAACCCAAGCTGAAGCATAACCTAAAGGGATTATTGCTTTAATTCTCTTTTCCAATATAATCCTTGGCATTAAACATAGAATTATGTTTATTATTAAAATGTTGCTTATATTGAGTTCTGAGACATGGAATCTTAAAGTTTTATGAAGATTTCTTGAGGCGTGAGCTTGGAACATACAGTCCTTCCTACTGAATCAAGAGCCCCAGAGTTGGGCTGGCCCTTCAGAGAGATCTGTGAATGCTCAGCATCTGATTTTTACCTGGCTGCTGAGGTCCAGGTGCTCCAGAGGGAGGTCAAAGCCAAGAGTCATAGCATGGCACTGTGTCATATTACTCTGTCATTGTGCTTAAATTGCTCAAAGAGCTCAGGAAATTAGTATACGACCTTGAAACATTCTTTTTTTCCTGCTATCCATTATTATCTTTTTTTGAGCTTTTAAAAAAAGAGAAAAGGAAGAGAGAAATATTAGCGAGTCATAAAAATATGATGTAGAATTGGAAGAAAGATGTTAGAAGAAATATAAAAAGAGACAGGATCTATTGATTTGTACACATATATTTATATCCGACTTGTTTTCTGGCTGTACATTCTTAACCTGATTTTGAAATAATTTGGAGACTAGGATGGAAATGTTTGTTGCTCATTTTGAAGATACATGCAAGGCCTATAAAGGTATATAAAGAATCAAAATCCCCCATAGAATGCACTTTCTTTCAAAAGTGGGTAGAACAATTTTGTACATGGCAAGGTGGTGGATAGAAGACAATATGGAGGAGGTAGAGAGAGTAGAGAGTCCATAAAAAACCCAAGCTGAAGCATAACCTAAAGGGATTATTGCTTTAATTCTCTTTTCCAATATAATCCTTGGCATTAAACATAGAATTATGTTTATTATTAAAATGTTGCTGATATTGGGTTCTGAGACATGGAATATTAAAGTTTTATGAAGATTTCTTGAGGTGTAAGCTTGGAACATACAGTCCTTCCTACTGAATCAAGAGCCCCAGAGTTGGGCTGGCCCTTCAGAGAGTTCTGTGAATGCTCAGCATCTGATTTTTACCTGGCTGCTGAGGTCCAGGTGCTCCAGAGGGAGGTCAGAGCCAAGAGTCATAGCATGGCACTGTGTCATATTACTCTGTCATTGTGCTTAAATTGCTCAAAGAGCTCAGGAAATTAGTATACGACCTTGAAACATTCTTTTTTTCCTGCTATCCATTATTATCTTTTTTGAGCTTTTAAAAAAAGAGAAAAGGAAGAGATAAATATTAGTGAGTCATAAAAATATGATATAGAATTGGAAGAAATATGTTAAAAGAAATACAAAAAGAGACAGGATCTATTGATTTGTACACATATATTTATATCCGACTTGTTTTCTGGCTGTACATTCTTAACCTGATTTTGAAATAATTTGGAGACTAGGATGGAAATGTTTGTTGCTCATTTTGAAGATACATGCAAGGCCTATAAAGGTATATAAAGAATCAAAATCCCCCATAGAATGCACTTTCTTTCAAAAGTGGGGATCAATACAAACAGCCTATATTCTCTAAGTGAAAGTTTTATTATCCACAGTTACAAGAAAAGTGACAAGTTTGATGTCACTTCCCACTAGCCTTCCTGGTGAAGCAAGGCAGCTGAAGAGTATGATCAGAGAGGACCTTGGGAAAAACACAAGGTGTCCATAGAAAATTTATCAGCCCCTTGAATGGCATCAGGGTGGTGACCTGTAGATCATCAGAAACTTCATTGCCAGCTCAGGTGATAGGCATGCAACCAGTCTTGGTTAATTTTATGCAGGAAATACTTAATTATCATCTAAATTGTTTCTTAAATTGTTACCTATTTTCTACTTGTCCAGCTTTACTGCTTGGGAACTCATTTCTTAAGGAATCATTAGTCCATTACTATGTAGTTGAAGTTGAAACTCCCAATTTCTCATTCTTTCCTTTAGGCTCAATATAAAGGTGCCCCATGTGCGTGTGTGTGTGTGTTTGTGTGTGTGTGTGTGTGTGTGTGTGTGTGTGTGTGTGTGTTTTCTTCTTGCCATTCTCAATTTGCCTGGGTCTCTTTGACAAGTGATACTTTACTCTCCTATCAATTTCCCCCAGATAATTGTATTTTGGGCTATTGATTTATTCTTTAGTAAGAACATATTGAGCCCCTACTAAATGATAACAATTATTCAGAGTGTGGTTGCTAAGCAGAGTACAAAACCAACAAGAATGCCTTTTCGTATGAAATTCACATTCTTGTGGAGTAAAATAGAGAATTAAGAAAATAAATCAGAAAGAAAGGTAATATGCTGAACAGTAAAAATGTTTGGAAGAAAATGAACAAGAAAATAAAATATGAAGTGGAGGTATGAATATAGAGAGGTTTTACAATATTAAATAGAAGGGTCAGGAAGATCTCATGAGATGGGGAAGTTTGAGTCAATATCTGAAAGAGGTGAATATATTAAATAATTACTTGAGTCAAGACTATTTAATTAATGATTTGCACATGTTCATATAACATTTTTTTCTTAATGACTTTTTTTGTTCTATAATCTTCATTTTATGTCTGGTTTCTGAGTTTAAACTATTTTAAATTTAGTAACTTTGATAGAAATAAATTCTTATAATTTTTTCTACTTTTAAGAAATGGTTCCAGTTATCTATGGCTGACAACAAACTGTTTTAAAACTTAAAGACCAAAACAACAATTTTCTTGCATATCACAATGTCATTGGTTATAAATTTGGACAGAGCTAGACAGGCAGGTCTTCTGCTGTAGTGTTAGCGCTGACTGACGTATACATCTAACAGGAATATGGCCTTGTCTGGAGGACTGGAGATGGTTTCATTCCTGTCACATGGTGCACGTGGCTACATAGCGGAGACTGCAGACTAAGTACTTTCAGCTGGCCTCTCCAAAGTCTCAGGGTAGTTAGACTTCCTATATGGCACTTTGAGGCCCAGAGAGAGTGTCCAAAGGGAAAAGAAGTTGAATCTGGCAGTTTCTGAATACCCAAGTGTAGAAACTGATACAGTGTCACTTACGACATACTCTGTCAATCAAAGTAGTCCTGGAGCTGGCCCAGATTCAAGGGAATGGGATAATGCCCCAACAAAGAATGCGTGACCATCTATATCAGTGTCCTAGGGCTGTCATAACAAATTACCACAAATGTATTGGCTTAAACAACCAAAATTTGTTTTCTCACATTTCTGGGGTCCAGAAGTCAGAAATCAAGATGTTAGCAGGGCTACAAGTCCCTAAGGGCGAATCCTTCCTTACTTCTACCGGCTTCTGGTGAATCCCAGAATTCCTTGGCTTATGGCAACATAACTCCAATCTCTGCTTCCATCTACACATGTATCTCTTCTTTGTCACTGTGTGTCCTTTTCTGTCTCTAATAAGAATAGTCTCATTAGATTTAGAGTCCACCCTAACCCAGTATTATCTCATCTTGATCTTTGTCTTAATTACATATGCCAAGAGCCTATTGTAGTTTCGGGTGGACATAAATTTTGAGGGGACACTATTCAACCCACTATAACATTTATATTCTTCTACAATATTAGAGGTGAAATGGCCAGGATACTATACATGGATGATGTAAAAATGGCCAAGACCCTATTGTAGTTTTGGGTGGACATAAATTTTGAGGGGAACACTATTCAACCCATTATAACATTTATATTCTTCTACAATATTAGAGGGGAAATGGCCAGGATACTATACATGGATGATGTAAAAATAAAAATTATGTCCAAACCACTAAGATGGATGATTTTGCAAGCTTTGCTAACTGAAAATCTCATACTTACATACTATCCAGGAAACCATGATTCTCACCAAATATTTTATTTTTTTTTTACAGTGACATGAAAAAGGTTGGTGTCACTGTGGTTGGGCCACAGAAGAAGATCATCAGTAGCATTAAAGCTCTAGAAACACAATCAAAGAATGGTCCAGTTCCAGTGTGAAGGGCTATTTCCCAAAGGGAGTGGTGGCTGAGGAAGATGTAGCATCACTCTGCAGACAGATGATAATGCGGGAGATACTGGTGGAAGTTTCAAGCCCTATAAGACACTCATATATGAGTACAAATGCCTTAAAATGGAATTAAAAAACTCTTTATTTTCCCATATCATTTAGTGGATTGGTGGGTGGGTGTTATTTTGTTTTGCAATTGATTTTTTATATTAGTTGATGGATGAAATTAAAATTCTTCAGCATGAAATGATGAAGAGCTAGCCTAGAGCCATGGATCATATACTGACTATTATAAAAGCAAAACAAGTGAAATAACAAAATGAACATAATGGCTCTGTTCACTACTAGCCACAAAGGAAAAGACTTGTGATATTTTTCTACACAGAATAAATCTGTAACAGGTATTTTTTTTCTTTAGAAGCAAGAAAAACAGAGGAATTTATACCTCAAACTATCTGGCCATATTTACTACCTTTTCATTGTATTATTCTCTTTTATCTGTTAAAAAGCATATAAAGTTTGTAGCTGTTTTAAGTACCATACATTTATAATTATTAGCTTTGTTAAGTATTATCATGTAAAATGAGTCTTAATTTTGAAGAAAAGTACATATTTATTTTCTTTCTAATTGTTTTAATTGTTTTCTATTTATGCCTCAATGATTTAATTTGGATTTGTTACAGCCAAGTGCCAAATGCTCTCTCAAATTGTCAGCAGTAGGAAACATGGAAAACTAAACATAGGGAATGATGGGTTTCTTTCCAGATTTTCAAAACATCCATGTATATATAGAAACCAAATCAATTCCCCTGTTCATTCACTAACCAAATCTAATATTAGAGGGGAAATGGCCAGGATACTATACATGGATGATGTAAAAATAAAAATTATGTCCAAACCACTAAGATGGATGATTTGGCAAGCTTTGCTAACTGAAAATCTCATGCTTACATACCATCCAGGAAACCATGATTCTCACCAAATATTTTCTTTTTTTTTACAGTGACATGAAAAAGGTTGGTGTCACTGTGGTTGGGCCACAGAAGAAGATCATCAGTAGCATTAAAGCTCTAGAAACACAATCAAAGAATGGTCCAGTTCCAGTGTGAAGGGCTATTTCCCAAAGGGAGTGGTGGCTGAGGAAGATGTAGCATCACTCTGCTCTAAGGGCGAATCCTTCCTTACTTCTTCCGGCTTCTGGTGAATCCCAGCATTCCTTGGCTTATGGAAACATAACTCCAATCTCTGCTTCCATCTACATATGTATCTCTTTTTGTCACTGTGTGTCCTTTTCTGTCTCTAATAAGAATAGTCTCATTAGATTTAGAGTCCACCCTAACCCAGTATTATCTCATCTTGATCTTTGTCTTAATTACATATGCCAAGAGCCTATTGTAGTTTCGGGTGGACATAAATTTTGAGGGGACACTATTCAACCCACTATAACATTTATATTCTTCTACAATATTAGAGGTGAAATGGCCAGGATACTATACATGGATGATGTAAAAATAAAAATTATGTCCAAACCACTAAGATGGATGATTTTGCAAGCTTTGCTAACTGAAAATCTCATACTTACATACTATCCAGGAAACCATGATTCTCACCAAATATTTTCTTTTTTTTTACAGTGACATGAAAAAGGTTGGTGTCACTGTGGTTGGGCCACAGAAGAAGATCATCAGTAGCATTAAAGCTCTAGAAACACAATCAAAGAATGGTCCAGTTCCAGTGTGAAGGGCTATTTCCCAAAGGGAGTGGTGGCTGTGGAAGATGTAGCACCACTCTGCAGACAGATGATAATGCGGGAGATACTGGTGGAAGTTTCAAGCCCTATAAGACACTCATATATGAGTACAAATGCCTTAAAATGGAATTAAAAAACTCTTTATTTTCCCATATCATTTAGTGGATTGGTGGGTGGGTGTTATTTTGTTTTGCAATTGATTTTTTATATTAGTTGATGGATGAAATTAAAATTCTTCAGCATGAAATGATGAAGAGCTAGCCTAGAGCCATGGATCATATACTGACTATTATAAAAGCAAAACAAGTGAAATAACAAAATGAACATAATGGCTCTGTTCACTACTAGCCACAAAGGAAAAGACTTGTGATATTTTTCTACACAGAAGAAATCTGTAACAGGTATTTTTTTTTCTTTAGAAGCAAGAAAAACAGAGGAATTTATACCTCAAACTATCTGGCCATATTTACTACCTTTTCATTGTATTATTCTCTTTTATCTGTTAAAAAGCATATAAAGTTTGTAGCTGTTTTAAGTACCATACATTTATAATTATTAGCTTTGTTAAGTATTATCATGTAAAATGAGTCTTAATTTTGAAGAAAAGTACATATTTATTTTCTTTCTAATTGTTTTAATTGTTTTCTATTTATGCCTCAATGATTTAATTTGGATTTGTTACAGCCAAGTGCCAAATGCTCTCTCAAATTGTCAGCAGTAGGAAACATGGAAAACTAAACATAGGGAATGATGGGTTTCTTTCCAGATTTTCAAAACATCCATGTATATATAGAAACCAAATCAATTCCCCTGTTCATTCACTAACCAAATCTCTCACAGTCTGAATTATCTCACATATTTTTGTCTCTGCATTTAGTATAAACTATATGCTCCTAATTTAGTGTAATATACTGGCTTGTAAGTTATGGATTCTCAATGGCATACCTGCCCTACTCTGGTGTTTAGGAAACCATTCATTGGTAAAGAAGCTAAGTTAGAGCTCCTAAATAGAGAATAGCTACACTGTAAATAATTGGAATCCTATTTCAATTGCTGCATTAATTGGCAACACAGCCTGTTGGCCAATGCATAAGTAAAAAGCAATCACTTTCTGGCAGGCTCTGAAATGTCACTCAATATCTTAGCTTATAATTGCTGAGCTGTTTTTAGCTAATGATTATAACTAAACTACTCATCTGAATCATGGGAGTTTAGTTTAATTAATTAAACTTTGTAATAATCTATAGCAGGTATTGTTATCTTAAAGAGTCTTTCACTGAAATGCACCTGTTGTAATGTTAGTGTATAAATTAGAAGCATTAAATTACTTTACATAAACAGTTTTATTTTTGAAATACATAAAATGGTTATCTAGCAAATGATTCAAAATCTGTAGGCAGTGGAGAGATCTCTCATTGTGGGAACTTAGACTTACTATTTCATAAAGGTCAAATATGAGCATAATCAGTAATATTTGAAAAGCTGTACCTGGTATAGATCTAGCCACTAAAACATTGTAGCTCAATCTATATCTTCTAATGCTGATATGATCATTTCATGAGGATAATAAATGAATATGACATAAGAATACAATGGATAAAACAATACTGCAAACTTTATGTTTTTATGCAAAATGGAACATTATATAGCTTACAATCAGATCAAAATTCACAAGTGCTAATATGTTGTAAGTTTACTGTAATAAGGCTTAGGTTGTGTTCCTTCACATATGAGATTATTTCTTAAATTTGGCAATAATCCTTACAATCAAATCATCCAACTAGAATTTTATATTGGATATATAAGAGCATGAATTTTTATAAAGTTATATGCAATGATAACATTAATTACAAATTTAACTTAAGCCTAGAAGCAGTTAAAACCATTTTTAATCAAAATTTTGAGGTGTGGAATGTTAGACTAAGACCTAATTCTGGCTTTAATCTCATTTTATCCCAGACTAGCATTTACTTTTGTATTCTGAGCATACTCAATGAAATCTGTGCATTTCATGATAGAAGTTGAGGATTGTTATTTTGGCTATGGTTTCCATTTGAAAGTAGAAGTCATATACACAGTATATTGCTCTTCATTTTGTTCACTATTTTTCTACCCGACCTATTATACATTTACTTTACACAATTCTTATCCTGTACATATGTAAACATAACAGTGTACGATTCTTAACTGTGCAGTAGAGGTACTAGATGCTGATGGCCATCTCTTTGTACAAGAACTGCATTGACTTTCCATAAACATGAAACCATATCTCCATACAATGATATGTACAATATTATCTGTTTTGTATCGTAAACTTGATTTACATATATTATTTATTTCTGGTACCTTGCCCAGATTATTCTGTACTAAGTATCAACAAAACCATGTATAAATGTGATATGATTGAAAATATGTATTTACTTTAGACTTGTCTTTTCAAAACATTACTCATTTAGTTTATGTTGTACAATGTAGATGGCCTCTTACTAATGTAAAATGATTTGTAGTGGGAACATTTATATTTTTATAATAAACATAATGAAAATATTTTTTACAGATTGAAATACAGAAGTGGTCTTTGAAACTTTTAAATATATTATTAAAATTTGTGCTTATTTAAACAACAAAATAATGAAATTTATATAAGTCATGAAGAATGTGCTTCTGTTTCTTTTTTCTTCTTTAGTGAGGAGGGATTCATGTTATGCTCTTGGATGTAGTGGGTGTGGTTATGTGGAATGATTGACCTAAAGGGATTAGAGGTGTCAGAGTAGGTTATGTCAAAAAGCCAGAGTATCATTTATGAAAAAAGGAAGGAATTCTAAACAGGCCAAATAAAACAAATAAAAAACAAACAACCACAATTTCAGAAAACACTCTAAAAAACACCTGATACTTTGTAGAAAGTAGGTCACGAGTCAAAGTAGTGCAATCTACTTAAAGAAAAACCATTGTACATGAAAACCCAAAAGCTAACTCACAATGTAAGGCCAGATAACACCTGAGATCCACATTCCCATAGTGGTAGAAATAGGTAAGGAAATATCATAAAATGTCAGATTTGAGCTTGCCTTGAAGGAGAAATAGAATTTGAAAATGTTGAGAGGAGGCAAGGATAATCTGTAAGCAGATTAACTAAGTAAAAGGAAATAGGTAAAGAAGAACATATTTATTCATTTAATAAAGACACATTCTGCACTCAGGTGAGACAGGTGCTTTGCTATCACCATTTACAAGTTACTAAATCTTTGCAGCAATCCTGTGAAGAGATCCCCTTTAGTAGATGATGGAATCAAGTAATGGAATTCTCCCCAAGGTCACCCCAGTGAATAGAAAAAAAAAGTTACTTCAAATTAGCGTCTTCTTACTCTGTGGTCTTTCCATAATATAATGGCTACTGTAATCCAAAAGTTATCTGGGGCCAGTGCCAGTGGCTATTTGCAAAAGTGATTTTGGGAAAAGCTGTGGGATAAGTAAAACAAATGATATTGGAAATCTGTTTTGGTATTGGAGGCATGAAGCTATGCACTTACTCTAGAGCAGTGATTTTCAACCTGTGTGTCAAGGCAGGCACACTGGTGAGCCACAGAACTTTAAAAACATGTAATACCTGCCCTGGAGGGTGGCTCAGTTGGTTGGAACATTGTTCCATACACCAAAAAACTTGTGGGTTCCATTCCGTACAGGGCACATACCTGGTTTGTGAGTTCAATCCTGATTGGGAGGCAACCTATCAATGTCTCTCTCTCTCTCTCTCTCTCTCTCTCTCTCTCTCTCTCCTCTCTCTTGCTGTTGCTCTCTCACTCTCATTCTCTCTCTCTCCCTTTCTCTCTCTATAAACTCAATAAACATATCCTCAGGTGAGGATTTTAAAAAATAACATGCCATACCTGACTATTTAGTCAGGGACAATGACCTATTTTCCCTTAGATTGTCAAATAAAAAGTGACAACAGCCAATATAAAAATAGCCATCCAGTATGAATGAATCAAAATTATACCCGTTTTTTGTTAGATCAGCAAAAAATATAATATATATTTTAGTGTGCTGAAGAATTTTAGTAATTAGTTT